GGGGTTGGGAAGGTGGCTCACTGATAGAGCACTTGCCTTGCATGCCTGAAGCCCTGGGTTCAATTCCTTAGCACCACATAAACAAAAAGAAAAAAAAAGCCAGAAGTGGCGCTGTGCTCAAGGGGTAGAGTGCTAGCCTTGAACTGAAGAGCTGAGGGACAGCACCCAGGCCTAGAGTTCAGACCCCACAACCGGACCTCCCCCCCAAAAAAAAACATTTGGAAAAACAAATTTAAAATAAAATATTACAGCATTTTCCTTGTATTTTATATAATTTTTTGGCACAGTATTTTGGTTTTGCAGTACTGGGGATGGAACCAAAGGTTTGGTGCATGCTAGGCAATCACTCTAACACGGATTCCCTTAGCACAGAATTTAATATAAATCACTTACCCTTTCAATTTTCTGTATGATATACATGGAATTTGAAATCTGGATGAACTTCTAAAGTTGATGCCATCTGACTTACAAATTTTAATGATAAATTAGCCTGAGCAGGAAAGTCTGTGCGACCTTTTCCTCAGTTAAAAAACCAGCAAAAAGCCAGAAGTGGAGCTGTGCCTCAAGTGAGTAAACCCTAGCCTTGCGCAAAAAAAGTCAGGGACAGTGCCCAGGCCCTGAATACATGCACAGGACCAGCGTGCATGAACCCCTACCCCCAAATACACACACCTTCATTGATAAGGAAATAAACTAGAGGAATAGTCATATCTAGGAAGGGGTTAACAATGTTCCATAGGAAATGTACTTGTTACCTTACTCATGTAACCATAACCCCGCTCTACAGTATCTTTACAATAAAAAATACATATTAAAAACAGTCAGATCTAAGCTTGCTAGTGATACTGCTAGGAAAAGACAACAAACCTTGAACTCTTTGTTGGTGTCTTTTCTAACATCTAATGAACAAGCTGTTAGTGAATCTTCTCTATTTCTCTGATGAGATCAGCCAAAAGACAAACTACTCTGTTGAGATGCAGACTCAAGCAAGAACTCTTGTGTCAACTCTGCCCCTTCACATTCCCAAAAGCAAATCCTCAGAAGACAACTTCTTCTGACTTTCGTTCTAGTGAATCACTGGAACAATACCAAACTAGGCTACATTACATGATCCATCTTCAGCAACGGCTTGGTGGTCCTTTTGTGAGTTCTTCAATATTACAAGACTAGTTTTCAATATTTCCTCCCCTTGACTACCAGGAAGTCCAGCTGCTAATTTAGTTTTCTGGGTCTCAGGTTTTAGAACCATCTCAGGCACTTGCAGAGCTTGTGAACAGCTTGACTTGTTTTTTCTTCCACAAGGTGAAGCTGGGGTTAGTTTGTGAGGTAAGGAAGAATGACGCAAATAACATTACCAAATCTAACTATTCCTTAATGTCAATTGTAAATTTCATTTTCTCCAGTTGTCTCAAAAATATATATATATATTTTTTAAAGTCGGGCACCAGGGGTTCATACATGTAATTCTAGCTACTCAAGAGGCTGAGGATCGAGGTTTGAGGCCAGTCCAGGTAAGGAAGCCTGTGAGACTCTTTATTTCCAATTAACCACCAAGGGGGTTGGGAAGGTGGCTCAGTGGTAGAGCACTTGCCTTGCATGCATGAGGCCCTGGGTTCGATTCCTCAGCACCACATAAGCAAAAAGAAAAAAGCCAGAAGTGGCACTGTGGCTCAAGTGGTAGAGTGCTAGCCTTGAGCTGAAGAGCTGAGGGACAGAGCCCAGGCCCAGAGTTCAGGCCCCACAATCGGACCAAAAAAAAAAAAAAAAAATCTCTCCAATTAGCCACTTGGTGTTCAAATGGTCGAGCACCATCCTTGAGTAAAGAAGCCAAGGGACAGCACCCAGGCCCTGAGTTCCATTGCTAATACTGGCACCAAAAATCAAACCAAAACCAAAAACTATTTTTGAAAGTTTGTTTAATCAGGATCCAAACATGATTAACATATTTACTATGTCTCTTAAACATCTTGTACTGCAAATGTAAGGATTATGTACTTAATTTCCCTATTGTTGAACTGTTTTCCAAAGTGATTGTGTTCATTTTATTTGTATATAGAATTTATGAGAAATCCATTCCCCTTCCACTTTTTAAAAATTATATATAATATCCTTTGATTCTATTTGCACTTTTGACGAGACAAAAATTTAACATTTTCCTGAGCCCCCCAATCTGTAAAGAAATGAGATATGAACTCAAACTTCAAATAATATACAATCAGGTGTTTCCGATATAAACATTTTATGCTCATTAGAGATAATATACCCTTCCACCATCTAAAAGTCACTGTTTTACCTTCTGTGTCAGGAATGTTTTTGGAAGGGGAGTTGTTGGTAAAGGGGCTGGAACTCAGGGTTTCACACTTTCATTTGGCTTTCTTGCTCATGGGTGGCACTCTACCACTTGATCCATACCTCCAGCCCTGCTTTATTGCTCTTTAATTGGAGATGGAGTCTTGCAGACTTTTCTGCCCATGCTGACTTCAAACCTCAATCTTCCAGATCTCAGGCTCTTGTATAGCTAATATTACAGGAGTATGACACTAGTGCCTGCTAGGATTTTTTTTTTTTTCCTGTTGGTTGTGGGCCTTGAACCCTGAGCTTTTTTTGTGCTCAAGGCTAGTGCTATACCACAAGCCACAAGCCACAACACCACTTCCTAGGATATTTTTAAAAATTATTTTTTCTTTTCATGCTGGAAGATTAATTTCAAGCCCTTGCCCATGCCAGACAAATACTTTACCACTGAGCTATACCACCAGCCCTCTATTATGTATTAGTGAAATAATGAAGGTGGCTGTGGTAATTATGTGCTATTTAGTATTTCCTAGGGCAGGTATGCATGATGGGTGTTGAATGTTTCCTCCCATGAAGATACTTTTTTTTTTTTGTTGGTTGTGGGGCTTGAACTCTGGGCCTGGGAGCTGTCTCTGAGCTCTTCAGCTCAAGGCAAGCACTCTACCACTGCACCACTTCCAGTTTGCTGATGGTTAATTGGAGATAAGAGTCTCACGACTTTCCTGCCCAGGCTGGCTTTGGACCGAGATCCTCAGATCTCAGCTTCCTGAGTAGCTAGGATTACAGGTGTGAGCCACCTTTGCCCAGCCTGAAGATCCTTTTTAATACGTATGAAACCCCTGAGGCTAGATATCACTTCTACTGTGAACAATGATAGAATTTCTGTAACCCCTTTTCTTCCTCCTAGTATCTGTTGGCAGGCTATTTGTTTTGATGATGCCATAATGGTTTGTCTGTGGCATCACCAGTTGCCACATACCTTTTGGGAGAATCAACTTATAAGCAAAGTAAAACTTAGATGGTATGACCTGATCTTAGTGGAGCAATTTTCTGAGATCATAGGAATAAAGAATATGTTTCTGGTTGATTCCTGGTTTCCAAGAGCATCCAAACTTCATCAAGGACACAGTCATCTTCCCCAAAAGGAAAACCAACCTATTTTTGGTGGAAAACAGCCCATTTTTGGCACTAGAGTTGACGTCTGAAAGAGGGAAGCGTATACACTGAAATAACTTCCCCTCTATCAAGGGAAAACAGTATGTTTAATATGCCATAGAATGACTGGAATATATTAAAAAATCATGATGTTCCAGGGAACATCATGATCTATCTTAAGTGTGAAGAATGATAGCCTACGTTGCTGTTATATTTATCACTTAGAGAACTGCCTAAAAAAGATACAACAGATTTTAAGCTTTCATTTGGGTTAAATACCTGCTACTCAACGTGTCAGCCACCTTGATTTTTTTTTTAAAGAGAATTCGTGGTGCAAGGTTTTGGCTTCCATTTTACTTTTAAAAACCAATGACATCTCCAGTTTTGGAAGAGCAATTTCACTGTGGCTTCTGATAAATGTTGGCAGAACTGGTGCATTCTTAGAATAAATTCTGTATGCTCAGCATTTCCTCCCCAAATTCATCCATAGGTCCGATGACCACAAAATTTGCGCATCACAAAATAGGTTAAAGAAAAATCTGCATGGGCTAGAGTAGGTGCGAGTGTGAATTATAATGTGAAACTGGTACATTGACAAAAATTCATGTTTAGCCTCAAATTGCTAACCAAATTTAGACTGCCAAAACAATGCCTATTATTGATAGGCATGACCTTTAAAACTAGTTAGGCTAAGGGTGCAGAAATCACACACAAAACAAAAATTTCAAAACCCATCAGCTTCTTTTCAGGCAAACCTCAGCTCTACAGAACTACATGCCCTGGTCTTTAAAATATTAGAGTGAGGCCGAGCAAGGATGATTCACACCTGTATTCCTAGCAACCTAGGAAGCTGAAATCTGAGATGACTGCGGTTCAAAGCCAGCACAGTCAAGAAAGCCTGTAACACTCTTATCTCCAATTAACTATCAAAAAGCTACAAGGGGAGCTGTGACTCAGGTGGTAGAGCGCTAACCTTGAGCAAAAAAGCTCAGGGTCAGCTGCCCAGGCACTGAGTTCAATCAGTCAATCAGTCAATCAACCAGCATCAGAGTGGCTGCTCCTGTTATCCCTGTGAACAAGGACACCTGTGACTCTCTTCAATTTAGGAATATGAACTTTTCAGATCCTTAAGTCTCAGGAAGTGGTCCCAAGGGAAGTTTTTCTGGCCCCAAGGATGTGAAAGACACGCGAAAGGAAAAATGTGTAAACCACACACCTGTAGTTGCAAAACAAAACGAAATCCCTGTGGATTCAGACATCTTCATGATCTCGCAGTACAGCTGCCCAAATCAGCAGCTGCGGTCCCCTCAACACGGGAGCGTGGCCTCCTAAGATACCCCAACAGAGGGTGGGTCCAACACGCCCTCGGAGCTGGGATCTGGGGTACCCGCAGCTTCCCTCACCCCGCCCCCGCCCCCTCCCCAGCCCTTCCCCGGGCGCCCCGCCCCCCGGGCACCCCGCTCGCCAGCCAATCGCCTCGCGCCATCCCCTTCCCATCGCAGGCTCCGCCCCCGCGCCCGGGATGTTGGGCCCCCGCGGCGTGACGCGAGCACGGCAGCTCCGCCCCCTGCGTCTCTGGCCTCGCTGGCCTTGGGGGGATGGTTCCATCATGGCGTCAATGCAGGTGAGGGGAGTTTGCTGCATCTGGACCGGCGGGTGAGCCGCCGAGAGAGTGCGAGCGTCCGGGCGAGGGCGGGGAGCGGGACTCGGCGACACCCGGGCGGGCTCCGGAGTGTCCCGATGGCCGGACTTCCTGCGGTGCCAGGGCGCCGGGGAGGGGTAAGGCGGCGGGAGGAAGCGGGGCGGGGGTGGGGCGGGGGTCTCCGGCGATCGCCGCGGACGCCAGCCGGCCGCGAAGTTAGTGGTGGGATCGAGGACGCGTGAGGAGGGCGGAGGGGGGAGTTGGCGGCCGACTCGGTGGTGGTGGTGCCCCTTCCTGCCCTGACGGCCGCCGTTGGGTGGTTCTCTCGGGGTCAGCCCCGGGGATACCTTTTCCTCCCCGGGTTCCCCGGCCCGGCGGAAACAGCTGCGCCCGTCGTGGTCGCCGGGCCCGGGGGGGGGGGGGGGGTAGCGGGGCTGCGGGCGAGCGGAGGGGGCCTGCCAACGCCGTCCCAACCCGGGACGGCGCTCCGCGGCCTCGGCCCAGGCCTCCCACGGCCGGCCGCCCACCCTGCTCGGCCCCTTCCCTGCCACTCGGAATCCTCGGCCCGGTGGCTGCCTCCTGCGCTCAGCCTGGCGCTCCCTCGCAGTCCTCCCTCAGCCCATCTCTCCCTCCGGCCCCGGCCCCCCGAGCGGCCCCTGTCCCCTCCCGGGCGGGCCCCCGGTCGCCCAGTCACTCAGCCCCCGAACCCCTCCCGGGGGAAGCCGCCCTCTCAATTTCTTTCTTCCCCTGCCCCACCCTTGCGGTCGCGCCGAGGCCGTGGCTCGGGCTCTCCGGCCCCCTCTCCCCCTCCCCCGGCGTTGAGTGCAAGCTCAGTGGGGCAGGAGCGTTTGTTAACCTGTGTCCTATCCATCCTACAGGGCAGTGCGTGGCTTTTCTGGCTTCTCAACTTAATTTGCTCCCTTCTCCCCTTAAATCCAGAGAGTTCGTTTTGTCAGGCAAAGATGGCAACCTCAGTGGAAGGGTTTTTAGAGATTGGCTGCATTATCTCTGTACCCTGCTTTTAATTCACAGATAAGACCAGTGGTAACCTTAAAACGTACAGGGAGAGAAGGCGTAACTCTTTTCAGTGTCAGCTGAATGTCTTTTAGAGTTTTAGTAGCATTCTCTGAAGAGGGAACGTGTTTTTCTTAGAAGGATTTTTTTTTTTTTTTGCTTTTGTTTCTAGAAAAATAAGCAAGTCTCTGTCCTTTTTTTTCTCTTTCTGTGACAGTGGTTTTTTTTCCTTTTCTGAGTCATTCCTGTTGTGCACATACCCATTTTTTTTTTCTTCTCATTATCCCCTTTCAACCTGTTTGCTTTACAGTATTCTTTTTACCTTTGCTTCTCCTCCTGGTCTTTTCAGCAGCATAAAATTGTATATAACATTTGTAATTGAAGAGTTGTTACGAAATGGTGCAGTGGAAAACAAGAACAATTTCAGGAAATGTTATACCACTTGCTGGTCTCCCCAGAGATGTTGGAGAAGTTTCATCATTTGAGGCCAAAAAGGGAACTGTGGAACACCAAGTTGAACAGATGGAACTATAGGACCACTTTAAGACTTATCTACTAAGATGAAAACTTATTTTAACCAGTTTAAGATTATTGTCTGTACTAAGATAAAAACATTGAAAAATAAAGACTAAAATCTACAACACGTGATTTTATTTGAAAAGAGGACAGTGATAGGCTCTTAGGTAATCAGATTTACACTCAAAAGTATTTGTGTTAGGTAGATTTGCTTTTATTGATAAGCTTGAATTTTACACGGTGACTTAAGCAGTGGAAAAAACAATACTTATCTAAACAATATTAGGGTTTTTCTGTACATTAAATGCCATCTCAGACTTGCCACTGGCTTAGCACTTTATTCCTTTCTCTTTCTATTTAAGGGAGTAGAAAACATGCTTCCCATTTTAATAAAGTACAGCTAAACCTTAATCTTTTATTTGTATTTGAAAATATCTGATAGGATTTTCTAAATACCTTTAAAATATATTACTTGGATTAATCAAACTTTTTACACAAAGGTTATAGCAGAGATTGTTATTATTTTAGTTATTATTTAATTTTTTTGTTGTTCGTGGGTCTTGAACTTAGGGCTTGGACACTGCCCTTGAGCTTTTTTGCTCAAGGCTAGTGTTCTACCACTTTGAGCCACAGGGCCAACTTCTGGTTTTCTGGTGGTTAATTGGAGATGACTTGCCTGCCCCAGCTGGCTTTGAGTTAGGATCCTTACATCTCAGTCACCTGAGTAGCTAGGATTACAGGCATGAGCCACTGGCGCCCAGCTGGTTAGTTATCTAAAATAACTACAAGTAATACACAAAACTACAACTAAAAGATGAAATGAGTATATTCACTCAGTGGATGTTTTTTGGGAGCCACAGTTTGTCAAGCACTTGAGTAGATCCTTGAAGTACAGCAGTACTAAGTTTCTGCCTTTGTGAATTTAAAAGTTAATTGTGTATTAGAAGTTGGTGGTGGTCTGGAGAAGCAGTATGGAAGGAAGTTAGGACATGAATATTCTGACAATTTCACTTAGAAAAACGTGTGCTAATAAAGAGAATGTTTCTCTAACTTTGTCCTTAAAATATTCAGTAGATTTCTTTGTCTTTCCCGCACCAGCATATTGCTGTTAATGAAAAAAGAGGTTATTTAAACTTCCAGAGGAGCTGCATAGCTTGACGAGGGGGAGCCAGACCTGTACTTCGAGGAGTATCACGAGTTTGAGCCAGCCTAGGCTACATAGCAGAACAAGACCCTATCTCAAAAAAGAAAAGAAAAAAAAGAGGAACTGTATTTTAAAAATATGCCATATTGTACAGTTGCAGCGTGGAATTTGGTTGCTTAATAGGAGTGAAATGAATAGCCTGGTGCCAGTTGATGCCTAGAATCGTAGCTACTTGGGAGGTTACGATTGGATTGCAGTTTCAGTCCAGCCTAGGCAGAAAAGTCGCAAAACTCCATCTCAGTCAAGAGCTGGGCTCAAAGGCGCCTATCATCCTTGCTAAAATGGGAGCTTAAAATTGGTGGATCCTGGCCAAGATGCATGGTACAGGGAGTGAGACTGTACCTCAAAAATAACTAGCACAGGAAGTGGCGCTGTAGCTCAAGTGGTAGAGCGCTCGCCTTGAGCTGAAGAGCTGAGGGACAGCGCCCAGGCCCAGAGTTCGAGCCCCACGACCGACCAAAAAAAAAAAAATAACTAGCGCATAGGCTGGAGATGTTGCTCACTGGTGAAAAAAGTACTTGCTTACCCAATGCTCTGCCCTAAGATCAAACCCCAATATTGCCTTCCTTGACTCCCTCCTTCCCCTCCAAAATAGAGTGAAGATTAAGGCAGTAAAGTTGAGTTATGCTGGGTGCTGGTGGATCACACCTGTAACTCTTGTTATCCAGGTGGCTGAGAGCTGAGGATGGAGGTTCAGAGCCAGTCCAGGCAGAAAAGGCCATGAGACTCTTATTGCCAGTTAGCTACCAAAAAGTGGGAAGTGGCACTGTGGCTCAAGCCACAGCTTGAGTACAAAGGCTCAGGGACAGTGCCTAAATTCAAACACACACACAGTTCAGTTAGGGTAGACTTTCAATTTCTTTTCTTTTCCCTCCCTTCTTCCCTCCCTCTCTCCCTCTCTGTCTCTGTCTGTCTTTCTTTCTTGCCAGTCTTAGGGACTTGAACTCAGGGCCTGGGCACTGTCCCTGAGCTTCTTTTGCTGAAGACTAGCACTCTACCACTGGAGCCACAGCACCACTTCCGGCTTTTCCTGTTTATGTGGTACTGAGAAATCAAACTTAGGGCTTCATGCACGCTAGGCAAACACTCTACCACTATAGACTTTCAGTTTCTTATTGGAGAAATACATTTTAGAAATTGTTTTTATTGCCGAGTGCCAGTGGCTCATGCCTGTAATCCTATGATCCTAGGTACTCAGGAGGCCGAGATCTGAGAATGGCCTTTCAAAGCCAGCCCAGGCAGGAAAAGCTGTGAAACTCTTATCTCGAATAAACCACTCAGAAAACCAGAAGTGGCACTGTTGTTCAAGTGGAAGAGTGCTAGCCTTGAGCTGAAGAGCTGAAGGACAGCACCCAGGCCTAGAGTTCAAGCCCTATACTGACAAAAAAATAAAATAAAATTGAATTGTTACTATAAAGGTGATACACAGAGTAGTTGCAGCTACCTACGTCAGGTAAAGAGTTAATTTCTTTTTGGACTGTATGACCCCTTCCTTCCCTCTCTGTTTTTTCCTCTAGTTCCTCCACAAGTTTTATAGCTCATTTTTAGCAGAGAAATAACTTTAAAATTGAGATTGCAACTGCCTTTTTTCCCCCTCCTTTTTGGCCTGGCTGTTTTCAGTTTATTGTGTGAAGAAAGTACACTAGTCCAAGATTAAAGATGACTGGTTACCTGTCAGATCACATTATGGAAGATGTGACGTTTTAGTTGTTTTTGTTTTTGAGTAATAGGGTTTGAACTGAAGGCCTTGAGTTTGCTAGGTAGCCATTTCTACCAATGAGACATACCTCCAACTTAGGCTGTGAGGTTTTTATTTTCAAACTTAGGAGAAGGAACAGAAGGAAAGTTGTGAGGAAACTGTAAGGAAATCATCACTTAAGCTTCAGCGAACCACAACCTTTTTTTTGTTGTTGTTGTTGGTCGTGTGGCCTGAACTCTGGGACTGGACACTGTCCCTCAGATCTTCAGCTCAAGGCTAGCATTTTACCACTTGAGCCACAGTGTCACTTCCAGCTTTTTCTGCTTATGTAGTGCTGAGGAATCGAACAGAGGGCCTCACGTGTGCAAGGCAAGCGCTCTACCACTGAGCCACCTTCCCAGCCCCTCCAACCTTTGTAAGTTGGATGTTCAATTATTGTATAGGTCAATTATACTACTTCTTAAACTTCATTATTTGTAATCCTTGGACTGTGGATCAGGGTCTTGTTAGCTGCTCTTCTGTTGAATAACTGTATGGCTATGATCTTTG